ATTTGCAAGCTCAGAGTGAGTGGACCAGGCCCTGACCCTCTCTCATCACCCCCCCACCCAGCTCCCAGCTGCATGTTCAGTGCTCAGAAGTGAAAAGTATTTGAGCTGTATGTGTGAATGATTGATGTGGATGCTGCTAACCAGAAGGTCTGGAGGTTTGAGTCCACTAGCGGCACCTCAGAAGAAAGGCTTGCAATGACTTCAGCCCGTGAAGACCCCGCGGCTCACATACATGCGGTTGCCATGAGTCTGAGCTGAGCCAATGGCAAGTGGGGGTGGGGGTGGTTATATTTTATGTGAGTGCCAGGAGGTGGAAGTGTCACTTCCTAGGGGTTTTGAAGCCCCTGGACTGGTTCCCAGCCTGGGTCTGCAGCAGTTGCTAGGTGGAGCAGCCTGGCAGAGGACAAGCCCTAGGGTAGGGATGTGTCACTGATATACAGAGGAGTTGGTCTTTGGACCAAGCAGGTGCTCAACCTGGACTGCTGCTCCCCAAGTGTCGTCCCCTTAGGACCTGGTGGCCCCTCTCCACCTAGAGGAGCTTTTCCAATTCTAAGCCAAGCACCTTTCAGAGCAGCTGTCTCTGGCACCCCTGTAATCATTATAAATAATTCTGTATTGAGAACCTACTATATGCCAGGCACTTTGGTAGGCACCTTGCTCACAAGACTCTTCAAAGGGAGTCTTGGAAGTGACATGATTTGCCTAAGGTCACACTGCTAACAAATGGCCAAGAATCCAGCAAGATCAGACTTTTATCAGAGACTGAGCATCATCATATTGGAGACTGGTCCGTTCCCTCATCTTAGACCTAGAAGGAAAGAGATGCTCAGAGAGGTCACACAGCCGGTTAGCTTCAGAGCTGAGATTTAAATTCTGGTTTGGGGGCCTCCCAGGACATGGAGAAGACTGAACTTGAGGGCTCTGGTTTACTCCCATTACTCTCCTGCCTCTTCCGCCAACCTGTCTTATGACACCTGACACTATCCATCACTCCCTCCCCCTGGGAACGCCCTCCTCCTCCAGTTTCCATGGCAGCACATCCACCCCATCCTCCTCCTCCTACTTTCCCTGCAGCTTCTCACTCTCAACAGTGGCTCCTCCTAAGCCTTGGAAGCAGGGGATTCCCAGGCTGGGTCCCCAGTCTCTTTTCTCTAAAGTTACCCCTGAAAACTCACCTACCTCCCCTCTAGGTCCCTAACTCTGACCTTGCATCCCAGCTCAAGTTTCAAGTAATAATAGCTACTTACCATGTGCTAAAAGCTTATTTGTGAGCTGGGCCCTATCCATACATTATCTCATTAAATCCTCACAACCACGACACGAAGGAAGGTCCACTCAACAGATGAGAAAACTGAGGCTCTGAGAGGGAAAGCCAAGATCTGACTCCAGTTTTGACTATACTTTTATTGCATCAGGTAGAGATATGAAGCTCTAGGGCATTCTGAAACCAGGGGCAAACACTTCCTTCCCATTCCCTGCAGAGAGGGGTGGAAATGGCAGGGGTAGTAGGTGACACCAGCTGCAAAGGTCTGAGGGCTCTGTGCTGATCTAGAATGACTGTCAGTTTGGAGCTTCACAGTGCATCCTGCACAGCACACTTTGAAACATCAAGATTTGGAGAGCTTCAGGAGGAACAAAAGTTCATAGAAAATTGCCCTTTTCCTGCAGTTTTGGCTTTAAGTTTTCAAAAATCTCATCCCAGGGTTCCAGCTGCTAAGGCCCTTCTATTTCACTAATGCTTGGAATTAACTGCAAAATGCTCTGGAATTTCACTGACCCCAGTTCTGCCATGAATAGACTCTGTGACCCAGGGGTGAATAGCCTGGCCTCTCTGAGCCTCAGCTTTCTTGTCTAAACCAAGAGCTGTCATGAGGATCAGATGAGATAATAGCCATCAAATGCCTGGCACAGAGCCTGATACACGGGAAGTGCTCAGTTAACCCCACATGCTCCAGCCACATCCAACTACTCTCTCCTGGGGTTTGCAGAGCACTTGTACCTCTCCAGGCTTTTGCACACGCTGTTCCCTCTTCTTAGGTGCCAACTCCTATTCATCCCTTAAGGCCCCCTGACCCTTTCCCACCTATTGCAGAATTGTAACAAACATGTTTCAGTAAAAAGCTAGAAAAGATACCTCCCTATGACACCCTCCCCGGAGCTCTGTTACTACCCTCATGACACTGAGATGCAGTGATCTGTTTATGCTTTTGTCTCCCAGCCGGGCCTGGCTTCCTGAGGGTAGGCCTCGTCTGACTGACATCTGAGTTCCAGTGCCCAGTGTGCATGGCCTGGCGTGGAGTCTCAGTACAAGGTTGCTTTACCTTAAATGCAGGTAGTTTTTGACTCATGGGCAGTCCCTGTCGACTCCAGGACAAATTGGTCTATCAGGAGTAGTAGAGGGTAGCCAGCTCTGTTACAGCCACAGGAGATGGCAGTGAGCAGGCCTGGAGCAGCCTGGTGACAGGCTTGCCCTGAGGGGATGGGGTCCAAGGAGACACAATCCTCACAAGGAGAATAAACAGCCCCAAGCTCCAGTGCCACTGCCTTCCAGAGGCTTTCCTGGTTACTAAAATGACCCACCAGCCACTCCTCGGAAGGAAGGTTGGGCAATCTACTTCCGCAGTGATACTGCCTGGGAAACCCGAGGAGTCACTATGAGTTGGGGCCGACTCGACAGCACATAACAACAACAAAAATGTCCCTGTTTCCTGTCATCTCCCCCAGGCATTAGCAGCAGGGGTCTCAGATGATGTGTCCAGGAGTGTCACCTGCCTTGCTGGTCCCCCCCCCCCCCATAGAGGTCTCTATGGTCATTGTCTGGGTGGTGAAGGTAATCCTGGTGGGCTGGGACTCCAGAACAAGACGGTTTAGTGGCTGGATCTGAGTGCTGGGCACTGCCCCCTGCCTCAGCCCGGGCCCGGGCCGTAGAGGAGCCATATTCAGGAGGAAGAATTCCTAGGTCTAGTGCTTCCAGGACCTCACCCTGAGAAGGGGCCTGTACTTTGCCCACAGAGGTCCTCCCGGTCCCTAGTCTGCCCACCCCCCATCTGGCTGTCTAAGCCCCTACCCACTGAACACTAATTCAGCCCCTGCTGGAGTGACAGCCTCCCAGAAAGGAAAGCCTTTTTGTTCCAAGGAAATGACTGTCAAAGGGATAAGAGGTACCTTTTTTTTTTGGTTTGAGACAAAGACGTCAATTTCTTTCCATCTGTCCCAGAAAGGAAAGAAAATTAAATTTGTTTTTACAAGACTGTCAGCACACTGCTTCAATAGGGAGTCAGAGGCACGTGACTGAGGCAGGTGGGGGTGTGCGTGAGACACGGGAGCAGCCCAGGGAGCAAGGGCAAGCAGACCCTGCTATCTGGGGCAGTAAGGTCTGGGAGAGGCTGAATAAAGAGCCAAGCAAATGAAGAAAAAACTCCTTTGCCCAGCTCTGGGTGGATCCTGCTCTCAGCAGCTTGAAGGTGGCAGCCAGAGCCGGTGGGGGACCTTGGGAAACCATGGAACCTGGGCAAAAGTAGGGGAGGGGGAGAAAACATTGATGCCAGCATCACAGTTATAAAAGCCTTCACCCCTCAATTCCTTCCAACTCAGGCCTCTGTGTTCCAGCTCCTACTGGACAAATTGAGCACAGCCAGATGTTGGGAGAAGTGGGAAAAGATTTCTTCAAAATATGTATCAGGGGTCCAAGACCAGGAGGAAGGAGTGTCCTACTGGTGCTTTTGATTCCCTCATCCTGCCCCAGGTGCCGCTTATCATCCATGGGGCTCTACATCTCCGTTCCTGTAACAAGTGCCCAAGACAGAGAGGCAGGGCCATGGGAGCCCCTGAAAAGCATCTACCCTCTGGCTTGAGGGCCCAAGCCCAAAGCAGAAGCTGCCTCCTCTGCCTCATTGCAAACCTAGCCCATCACAATTCCCCCTCCCACAGGCCTCCTACCTGCCTGGCTCTGGAACCTCCATCCCCTATTAGAACTCGGGGCAGAAAACCCTAACCTACAGAGGCTCTGTTCCGCTGCTCTATCCTGTGACCCTGCCTCACAGCCCTGCCCTGCACACCACTAGGATGCAGTGCTGGGGGGACAGTACTGTGATGCTGAGATCCCATCAGTTTCAAGGAAGTTACTGCCAAGGGGACAAACGTTAGTTTTTCTCTTTTTTTTTAAAAAGGTAATATATCAAGATGGAAGAGAATTGCAGCAAGCCATACACTGCTAGAACTCTGGGCTGGGACTCTACCCCAAATTTGAGGGCCCATCCTATTGCACATGGGCCCTGTCTCACCCCTTCCCATTAAAAAGAAGCCCAACCTCGCAGCACGATCCAACCTTCCCCACCATTGCCCTCTCCTGAGTCCTGGGCTCCTTCAGGTCTCAAGCCAGACACCCCATTCTGAGTTCTACTCCCAGCTGGAACTCAGAACTGGGACCCTAACCAAACATTCAGAGGTTAAGGCCCTGTCCCACTGTAGTGGCCCTGTTTTGCAGCCCAGAGGCCTATGTACTGTATGGGTGTCGCTCTCTTAAACAAGGGCGCCACAGCAATTCCTGTCAACTCAATATACCCAACGTCCTTCCTCAAGCACGGAGGACATCCAGAGGTGTAGCAAGGGGGGAGGCAGAGAGGGGTGCTCCTCGCCCCAAGTCCAAAGGGGCACCAGAAGAGGCGTGGGATTGACATTCCCAGGCGCCACGAATATGACAGGCGCCTGAGGCAGCAGAGCAAGAGGGGGGAAGGCATTTCTGCTGACCAGTTGCCGCTACCAAGGTCTATTAATCTTGAAACTGTGTGTGTGTGTGTGCAAATTCGAGCGCCAGGCGCTCGGATTGGGGGTTAGGGTGGGATTTAGAACCTGCCCCGGGCACCAGTCACCCACTCTAGACCCTGCCCAGGCCCCGCACCCAGAAAGGTAGACTACTCCGCACTGTGGCACCGCCCTTTCGCCGTGCGCCCACGTGGACTGTTTCCCCGCGGCCCTGCCTGGTCTCCGGCACTGCTTGCTCCCCGAAACAGAGGCCCTGTTCTGGCGGCTGAGCCGCTGGCTCCCCTGCTGCCCCTTTCTGGGTCGTAGCCCCGCCTCCATTAGAACTTGGTTCGGCCGCTGGGGCACTTCCGCAGGGTGCGCGGGGAGCCAGCCTGACCTAGTCAGGCGGCGGCGCCACCGCCAGGGCCATTAGATTGGGTGCAGGCGGAGACCCGCTCGCGGGCCGTATTATCGCGGGCCCGGCTGAAGCTGCCAGGTTCCGGGCGGCCGCAGGGCGAGCGGCAGAGCTGCCGGAAGCAGCGCTTGAAGTTCTCGTCGAGGAAGGCATATAGCACAGGGTTGAGGCTGCTATTGGCGTAGCCGAGGGCAATGCACAGGTGCAGCGCGGCCACCACGAAGGGGTCGCGCCGGTCGATGTCCACCAGTGTCCAGACGATGACGAAGATGTGGATGGGCGCCCAGCACACCACGAAGGCGCCCACCACCACCAGCACCATGCGCGTGATGCGCCGCAAGCTGCGATCCTTCTCCTTGGAGCCTGACAGGAGACGCACGCTGCGCAAGCGCAGCAGCATGAGGCCGTAGCACACGGTGATGATGAGGATGGGCACCACGAAGGCGAAGAGGAACACGCAGATCTTGGTCACGGTGTCCCAATACCAGCTGGGGCTGGGGAACTGCAGCGTGCACACCACAGCTCCGTCTGGGCCAAGGACAAACACGGACAGATAATGAGAGGCCTGAGCACCTAAAACTCCCACTGCCATTGAGTCGATTCTGATACATAGCGACCCTACAGGACAGAGTAGAACTGCCTCATAGGGTTTGCAAAGCTCTAAATCTTTACAGCTCCCAAATCTTTACAGAAGCAGACTGCCTCTTCTTTCTACTGCAGAGCGTGCCAGTGGGTTCAAACCACCAACTTTTTAGTTAACAGCCAAGGGCTTTAACCACTAGGCCACCAGAGCTCTTTGTGCATCTAAAGGGCCCTGACTATTTACCAACCCTTCTTGGCTCGATTAAGTCCAATGGCTTTGTTAAGTCCTCAAGGCTTTGCTGTTCTGCTGCCTGAAACGTTCTCCTTTGCTTCTGCACCTGGTAGACATCCTTAGAGACCCAGCAAGACTGGCCCTCATCTCCCAGCCCCTTTATAAGCCTCGGTGTCTACAGACAGCAGTAACAGTATAATTTAGCCCAGTACAGTGCCCATCATTGTGCTAACTCTAACCCTCGCCTACCCTTCAAACCCCCACCCCCCCATTTCCAAACTGGCTCCAGCAGGAATAGTACTCCTCCAGCAGGAATAGTATCACTAAGATCAACTTAAGATCAACATTCTTGAGTGTGAGTTAAAAGCAGGACTCAGGCCCTACTAGCTGTGTGGTGTGACCTTGGGCAAATTACTCAACCTTTTCAAATGGGAATAACAGTGCCTACACCTCACAGGGTTGTTGTGAAGATTATATGGGCTAAGGCAAGTAAAGCATTTAGCACAATGGGGTTCAAGCTCAGTATACTCACAGACACGTGTGGGAGCCAAAGGTCAAGGCTAGGGCCAAGGCGGGAGAGAGGCTCCAGGACAGCAGATCTCAGCTAATGTCAGCGAGAGCTTTCTGACAGCAGACAGACTTGTCTAGCAATAGGCGGGGCACCCAGGATGGAATGAGCCCTCTCTTTCAACTCCTAGAGTGTGGGCTTGGGCTGGATTCAGATGCAGAGCTGAGGCTGGCCCCAGCCCAGAGACTCTCATGGAATTCTGGGATTTGAGGTGAGCTTAGAGTCTGCTATGAGAAGAGAGATGAGGATCCATACCCTCAGCCCATAGTCAGAGTGGGTCTACTGAACTTAAGGCTGACAAGAGCCCTAGGGATGATTTACTCCAAGGCCTTCATTGAACAAACAGAATGCTAAGTGAGGCCCAGGGATGAAGAACATCTGCCCAAGGTCACACAGCAAGCAGCCTACAGAACCACAAAGTGCTGATGGCACACATGGGGGAATGTGTGTGTGTGGACTGAGGAGGCCCATCTGGTCCAGCCCCCAGCAGGGCTGCCATTAGTTAATGGCCCATAAACTGAAGGCTGACAGCAAGGACTGGGGCCTGACTGCTGAATCAGGACTGATGGTTCAGAGGCTGGGTGAGGGCATCGGGGCCTCTGCTCTTGTGAGGGTCGAGTGTGGCAACACACTTCCCACCAAGCTTGCATCTCCTCTCCAGCACCAACCCCCTGCAACCTTTCACACACTTTGGGGCCAGAAGAGCAAGAAATCTGGAGGCAGGAACTCTGAATTCTAGGCCAAGTGCCACCACATGCCTGGCTGTGTGACTCTAAGTAAACCATCTGACTTCTCTGATTCTCAGTTTTTTTCCAGTCAAATGGAGGTAGGAGTCCTTGCCCTGACTATCTCATAGGCTTAATCATTCTAACAGCTTCTATTTATTAATAACGACAAGCCCAGGCTTGTTCTAAGTGTTTTACACATATTATCTCATTTAATCTTCCAACATTCCATGATATAGTATGGCTCAGATGGGTTAATTAGTCACCAATGTTTTGGCATCTTCTAGACTGCTTTCTTGCTCCCATACATCCCAGTCAGGGCCATGTGACCAGCTATCACTAGGAAGGGATGGGTGATAATATTTAAGAGTGGGTGTGCTCAATACTGCATATCAGGAATAACAAACACTAATCTATGGGTAGATACACAGGTAGACAGGCAAGATGATCAGGTATGGGAAGGTGAATGGGACAGACTATATTCCCACATACATATTTGTGTGTGCTATAAAAATGTCCATGTATATTATAGAGCTAACAAGGTAACAAAGTTAGGGTAACTCCTTAGCCACCAACCAAGCACCTTGAGGGAGTGAGTAGCTTAGCCTGTGGGCTCAGGACTATGGTCATGGGGGACAGCAAGCTTAACTGGCTTGCCAGCAGCTATCTAAGATGCAACTATTGGTCTCTCCTCATCTGGAGCAAAGAAGGATGAATAAAATCAAAGATGCATGGATACAATTAGCTCAAGGGACTAATGGACCATGGGAACCTCAGGTGATGTGACCCTAAGAGACCAGAAGAACTTAGATAGTGCCTGGCTGCCAATGCCAACCACTCAGAAAGGGATCAAAATTGGAGATCCTGGATAGAGTGGGGGGAAAATGTGGAATAAAATTTAAAAACATTAAAAAAGCAGGATTACCAGTTAGACAGAGACTGGTGAGACTCCCAAGACTATGGCCCCTAGTCACCACCCTTCAGGCCTGGAATTAAACTCACTCCCATGGCTTAACTCAGCCAAAGTATAGGTAGGCCTATGAGCTGAGTAACTACACCAGGAAGATGCACTCCTTAGAACAATGAACCGTGGAAGATCAGAGGGGCAGCATCTGCACTGACAGGAAGCTAGAGAGGCAGGAATGCATAGGTTAGAAAGACACAGGGAACAGGTAACCACAGAGAGGAAGTGGGAAGAGAGCTGTAACACTGTGGGACTGTAATAAATCTCATGAAACAAAATGTGTATGAACTGTTAAATGGAAAATGAATCTGCTCTGTAAAATTTCACCCAAGTCACAGTAAAAAGTTTTAAAAGAAAGAGTAGGTGTGTTTCCTCCCTACTTCCTCTCCATATTCAACTGCTGCCAGATGCAGAGAAGCCAATGGAGGATTCCGAAAGCATCAGCTGAGCCTACATGCCTGAATGACTGTGGAACAGAGCTCCTTCTCCTTCCCCTCTTCCATTGGACAGATATGAGTGAGAGCTTTGGAGATTGTTTGTTACAGCAACTACCCTGACTAATACAGGCAGTTACTAAAATAATTACCATTTTATTCTGAGGAGATACATCTATCTATACAATCTCTGCAGAAAACTAAGCTTTGCTTTGGCCATATGAGCCAATGGTTTTCAAACTGGGTGGAAGGAGTTTGGGTTGGGACTACAAAGCTTGTGGGCTTCACTGCTCACTCACTGATCAGTGACAGCCTCACCCATTGGTCATCTATCTCCCTATAAGTCAGTCGTCCACATACTCCTAGACAAATGCCTATATGTACACAGACTAGCATCCATAATCCTACTGGCCAATTATTCATAAAATCCCTTTGGCCAGCAATTTGTATGACCACTGACCAATCATTCATCCTTTCAATAGTCAATTGCCATTTCCCTCACTGGCTAACCATTTATATTCCCATTGGCTGACATCCACACTCTCATTAGACAACCATTCACGTAGCCCTGGCCAACAAGCTATACTTTCCTTTGGCCAGAGTGACAGTCTACATTGGTCAGCTACCCTCCTTCTGCAGCCAGTCATCCGCACTTTCATTAATCAGTGATCCATACCTCCACCAGTGAGCCACCCACACCTACTCTGAAAGTGGCCTGCAAGAGGCCCAGTGGCCTCTGCTATGGTTCAATCATTCACTCACCCCGGGGACGGGTCACAGCCATGACCATGATGGGCACTCCAACACCTGAGGCCAGGACCCAGATGCAGATGTTGATCAGCTTGGCCTTGGCAGGTGTGCGGAAGTCCAGGGCCTTGACAGGATGGCAGACTGCGATGTAGCGGTCAACACTCATCATGGTGAGTGTGAAGATGCTGGTGAACATGTTATAGTAGTCAATGGAAAGCACGGCCTTGCAGAGCAGTTCCCCAAAGGGCCACGTCTCCATCAAGTACTTGGCACTTTGGAAGGGCAGTGTGCTGGTGGCCAGTGCATCTGCCAAGGCCAGGTTGAAGATGTAGATGTTGGTGGCTGTCTTCATCTTAGTATACCTTGGAAGGAAGTACATATACAATTGTTCTCATTTCATAGATTTCAGTTTCTCATTAAACTCAGGGAGGTGAAATGACTTCCCCAAGGCCATACATTAGGTCAGGAATAGAAGTGGGACTCGAACAATCTGATTTAGCATCATTCCCTTCTACAAGAATAGATGCAAAAGGATTTCACTGACTGTGACTAACTCTGGCAGAAAGCATCTTAGGTATCTAACATATATCTTAAGAAGAATTTTCTGAGAGGTATTAAACAATATGGTTAAAAATAAAATGGGCCCCAGAGGATAGCAGATCTGGTTCCAATCCTGCCTGAACCACTTATTAAGGGCTGTGGTGGTTCGGTGGCAAAACTCTCGCCTTCCATGTGGGAAACCTGGGTTGGATTCTCAGCCAATGCACCTCATGTTAGTAGAGGCTGTGTGTTGCTATGATGCTTAACAGGTTTGAGGGCAGCTCATGGACTAGGACAGACTAGGGAAAAAGGCCTGGCAATCTATTTACAAAACTCAGCCAATGAAAACCCTATGGACCACAATAGTCCGATCCATAAGCAATCATGAGGATACTGCAGGACAGGGCAGCATTTCATTCAGTTGGGCATCGAGTTAGACTCTGACTCATGGCACCTAACAACATTCCTTGTTAGCTGAATGATTCTGGGCTAGTAACTTGAGCTCTCCTAGCCTCAGTTTCTGAAAATATAAAAAGAGGGGTGATGTTTTTACCAACGTCACAGTGGTTATGAAAATTCAATGAGATAACATAGCACTCAGCCTTGAGCCCAATGTATATGGTAAACACACTAAAGTAGGGGCTAGACTGGAGTGACCCGACCGTCTGGTCTCTGTCCACTAGTCTGACCTTCTGGGAATATGATTGGCCAGCTTAGGAACCCGCTGTGGAGAACCCTTGGGCATTCTCCACGGTAGAGCAGAGCTCCTAGTCCTCCCTGCGGTCCCATCCTCATGCAGCTGGGCTCACTTCGCTATAGAGGCAGCAGTGCATCCTCTCCCCACCCACAGTGATGTGGAGAAGGGAGCAGCTGACATAGTGCCACACATCTAAGCCTGAGCGTGAACCCATGTGTTCAAGCTGCCAGATGCCTACAAACCAAGCCCCTGTACCTGACACTTCCTACCACTCCTCCATGCTCTATGCTGCCACACAGATGTCTGAGCTATAGCTGGCCCCTTCTGGTCAAGGCTGGGGCAAGCACCAGGAGCCTACAGGACACTGTACATAGCAAAACAGGCTGTCCCCATATAGTGTGATCACCACAGGAGCACACAGTCACTGAGGCACTCACTCACTCACTGCCATTGAGTCGATTCCTATTCCGACTCACAGGGACCCCTCCTTGGGTTTCTGAGGAGGCAAATCTTTACGGAAGTAGATTGCCCACCCTTCCTTCCGTGGAATGGCTGGTGGGTTTGAACCGCCAACCTTTTGGTTAGCAGTCAAATGCCCTAGGCACTACACCACCAGAGCTCTGTCAGTGAGGCAGGGGTAAGGAATTCTTTTATGTCCCTGGAATGGTCGAGGAAGCCCACAGAAGGGGTGTACAAGCAACTCATCAACTATCAGAACAGGAAGGGCCCTGAGATATCGAGGAAAGTGATTTATTTAAAGTGTGGTCTCCCTTCAGAATAACTTGATGAGCCCGTGAGAAATGCAAATTCCTAGACACTCCCATCCACCCATCCCCAAACCTGCTAAATCTTAATCTCTGGTACTGGAGCCCTTGGGAATTTTCATCTTTAACAACAACACCCCCATATCCCAAGAGATGCTTATGATCTCCAAAGTTTGAGAATCACTGATATAGCCTAAAGCCCTTATTGGGGAGAGATGGGGAAACGGAAGCCCAGAGAGGCAGCATGACTCACCCAAGGTCACACAGTAATAGCAAGCAACAGAGCCCAAGTGAGCACTTAGACCTTCTGACTCACAGACCAGTGTTCTCTTTCTACTCTACCACACAGGGTGGTGTCACACCGTGTGACCCCTGGACACCCAGAGTGAGTACCCTCAATGTGTTTTGAATGACTGAGCAAACTCACATCAGCTGAGGCTGTTCTTTCGTGAAGTGACGGAATTTTTTGGTCTTAAAAAAAAAAAAAAAAAAATCAACTCACTCATTGTCCTCCAGGGCCAGCATCTGTCCCACTCCCTCCCAAAATAGCTGTCATTTGCTCTGGGGCTGGAGAAGCAAAAAGTTTTGCTGGGAGACAGCAGAATTGCAAGTCTTGGGAAGTCTGTCTTCAGCGGGGTGCGGGATCACAGCTGTGTGGGAGGCGGTCTCAACCCCACAGCTGACTGACTCCTCTAATTTCTCTTCTCTTACGCAGAACAATTAGAGGCTGTTCTTTGCCTGCTATTTTGATTTGTGAAGGATCCTTCCATTCCCAGAGGGGGCTGGGATGCTGGGAAGTGGGTGATGAAGCTTCTGTAGCTGGTCCAGGCAGGCTGAGCATCACAGTGCTGCCTGTCTGCCAGGCTGAGCCCCAGGAGCTCTTCTCCTCACGCGCCTCCCTTGCCCTAACCCCTACAGTGAACCAACCTCCGAAATCTGTCCTGCGGGCCCCTTAGAGTCCCCTACTCCAGCCCCAAGACAAATCATGCCACTCCCCTGCTCTCCAGCCCCCAGCTGCTCCTCAAAGTTCTCTTCACGGTCGGTCCATAAGCTGGCCCCGATGACCTCTCCAACTCAGCTCCCAGCAGTGAGGGGTGGGGTGGGGTGGGGGTGGAATAACCCAATAAGCAAGATAAGCATGGGTTTACTTGTGGTGTTGTTGTTGTTATGTGCCATCGAGTCGGCTCCGACTCATAGCGACCCCTCCTTGGGTTTTCGAGGCAGTATCACTACGGAAGTAGATTGCCCAACCTTCCTTCCAAGGAGTGGCTGGTGGGTTTGAACCGCCAGCCTTCTGGTTAGCAATCAAGTGCCTTAGGCACTATGCTACCAGAGCTCCTGGGTTTACTTGTGTTTACCTACTAATCTGCAGTAAACAGTTTCACGTTTTTCACTTGAAAGCTTATGAAATTGTTCACTACAGACTAGTAAGTACAAGTAAGCCCAGGTTTACTTGATTACCATCAGGGACTGTAAATTTGAAAAGAGGCTTCAATTCTGTAGGGAGGTGCTACAGGGTTGGAAGAGAGGTAGGTAGCAGCCATATCTAGAAACAGAATCTCTGACATGGTGAACAAATGTGAAACTGTTTACTACAGATAAGTAAGCGCACGTAAGCCTGTGCTTACCTTGCTTATTGGGTGATCCAGCACTGCCCGCCACACTGGCCTCGCTGCTGTTCCTTGGACACGCCACCCCCGCTCCCACCTCAGAGCCTCTGCATTTGCTGCTCCTTCTGCCTAGAACCTGGTCACCTCAAGTTTTTCATGGCTTGCTCTTCACTTAATTCAGGACTCTATTCAAAGGTCACTAGGAGCTCTGGTGGCGTAGTGCATGAGACATTTGACTGCTAACCAGAAGGCTGGTGGTTCAAACCCACCAGTCACTCCTTAGGAGGAGGATTGGGCAATCTACTTGCGTAGAGATACTGCCTCGGAAACCCAAGGAGGGGTCGCTATGAGTCGGATCTGACTTGACAGCAATGTGTTTTTTTTTTTTTGGTTATTCAAAGGTCACCTCCTCAGAAAGGCTGTCCCTCACCTACCTAAAGTACTCCCTCTCCATTCTTCTTTATAACACAAACTACTGTCTGACATGTTTACCTCCTTTTCTGTTCCTTCTGTCGCTCTCATTGAAGTTAGTTCCCTGAAGGCAAGGATCTTGCCATTTTGTTCCCTGCTGTATTACCATCAGGCCCACCAATGTTGTTATGTGCCATCAAGTGGATTCCGACTCATAGCGACCTTCCAGGACAGGGTAGAACCACCCCGTAGGGTTTCCTAGGCTATAATCTTTATGGGAGTGGATCACCAGGTGTTTTCTCCCATGAAAGCTGCGGGTGGGTTTGAACTGCTGACCTTTCTTCTGGTTAGCAGCTGAGCACTTAACCATTGTGCCACTAAGGATCCTTCAGCCCACCAATCAGACCAAACAAACCCATTGTCATGGAGTCAATTCTGACTCATAGCGACTCCTGTAGGGTTGCCAAGGCTATAAATCTTTACAGAAGTTGATTGCCTCATCTTCCTCCCATAGAGCAGCTGGTGGGTTTGAATCACCAACCTTCTGGTTAGCAGCCAAAATGCCTTACCCACTGTGTCACCAGAATGCCTAGCAAAAAGCATACTCTCAATAGACATTTGTTGTTTGGATGCCTGAGTCCAGGCCTGCCGGCTCTCACAGGGACCACTATAGCAGCCTCCTAACTGCTCACCCTACCCACAGCCTCTCTCCCCTGCACTTCATCACCCACATAAGTCATTGTACAAAGCACCTTTCCTTAGGACACTTTCCTGCTTACAACCCTTCCATGACTGCCAGTGTTATAGCTTGAACTACGTCCTCCCAAAATATATGTTGGTGGAGTGGATAAGGCATTTGGCTGCTAACCAGAAGGTCAGCAGTTCAAGCCCACCTGCTACTCCTTGGAAGGAAGATGGGGCAATCTACTTTCATAAAGATTTATAGCCTTGGAAACCCAATGGGGGTCACCATGATTTGGAATTGACTTGATGTCAGGGAGTTTGGTTTGGTTTTTATACCTGTGGATGTGATCGCATTTGGGAAAAGGGTCCTCTTTGTTATGTTAATGAGGCCACGTCAGTGTCGGTGTGCCCTAAACCTAATCACTTCTGAGCTATAAGGAGCAGCATAGACTCAGAGACAAGAGAACACAAACGGGAGAGAGAGAGAGGCCATGTGAAGACAGCGAAGGACTCGAGGACAAGGGGACTACAAGGAAGCCCCCCATTAGGCAAGGAAGAACCTTCTCCCAAGAGCCACATCCTGAATCCAGACTTCTAGCCTCCTGAACTGTGAGAAAAATCTCTGTTCTTTAAAGCCAGCCACTAGTGATATTTTT